AAAATTGAAAATGCGTGCATATGATAGATATACAAATAATGTATAAATACAGATCAAATGATGATTATTCAAACAAATGCCATAGGCAAGAGAGAGATTATGACACAACTACAGCTACAGAAAGGATCGAATGAACCCCATTTTCAAGTATAGTATCATTTTGTAAACATGTTTGTCTGATAGCAGTAGGTTTGGGCTAATCTCTTTTCTTTTTATATTTATTTTCCTATTTATATATAGTCTAACACAAATATAACCACCAGAACTAATAATGATAAGTTGAATAGTAATGATAATTTAGATTAATTTAAATATGTAAAACATTGTAGATCTTTGATAATTCTATTGATTAAAGAACTAGAAGAGGTCAATAATGATGAAGATGCAAATAAAGATGCTGAAGCTGAAGAGGAACTGCATTTATCTAACTATTCATCCTCTTTTCTTATAAATATTTCTTCTGAGCCTTGCTTACAGCAACCGGCATCAAATGGTTCATCATATTTATTATCTATTCTGGAGAAATACTGTGCAGAAGAATCTACCTCATTTTATGAGTACAGCAACCAGTATCAAAAGGTTTGTCATATTTATTAGCTATTCTAAAGACATACTGTGCAGAAGAATCTACCTTATGAGTAAGTTATGATATTAGGTCAATTATTACTTTTGACTATTACTTACTTTTTTGTTTATATTTTTCTAGTCTTGCCCATAGCTTTATTGTAGATTTGTCGCAAACCTCAAAAATCAGAAGGCAGTTTAGTACTAAGGAATGGGTTAAGTTAGTTAAGAATAGACCTAATATAGTTCGAAAATCCTATCATCATGAAATAGAGCTACTTATTTCTCGCTTGTTTAGCCAAAACATAAGGTGTTGTGATTAGGAAAGAACTCGTTCTATATTGGCACCTTTGATTTTTTTTTGCCAATTTATTTTAGATGAATCTTCGAGAGGTACATCTTTATGATTACAACTATACACAAAATAAGAAATCTGATATCTACAATTTCGGTGTTATTTTTTGGAAAATTTCAAGTGGTCGGCCGCCTTTCCATCTAAGGGTAGAGAAGAGTTATCCATTCAAATATATCTGGGATTAAGGAAAACTCCAGTAGAAGTTATTCCAGAAAAGTACGTTGAGCTGTACATGCGTTATTGGGATAAAGACCCGATAAAAGACCAGATATTCAAGAAATATTTGATATTTTATGTGAATTAATGTCGGAAGAGACTGAAGTACAGATTCAACAGGTTGAACGGGATCCTATTTGTATTTTTAACGTGCCTGTCACCAGTAACGAACCTTCAAAGTTCTTCAAAATTTTCAGTTCCGGGACTGGATCCGGTGACTTCGAAGACTTGCTACTGATGACAGGCATGTTGGAGATACAAAGTGAAACCCGTTTTTAGTGTGAGTTTTCTACATTATAATAAGTACGATTTTATTTCGGCACCTTCTGTGGAACACTACTTTTATGCCCACTATAAGTGCCGATTCCAACCGTTCTTTTTTTGCGGAACACTAATAATGGTCCATATTTTCGTGGTGATTTGTTTTTTTCATAAAAAAAAAAATTTTCAATAGTAGATTATGAGGTTTTTCACGTCATAAACTTAAAGAACGTAAAGATGAATAAATTAATAAATTTGATTAATATTTTTTTTAATTATTATAACGGATGTAGTTTTTTATTTATTACATTATCGTTCTTTTCGATTTAGTATAATTTTTTTTTGAGACCCGTAGGAACGGAATTTTAGATTTGGAATTTCTTACAGTACAGTAATAAAATTATAGTTTTAGGTAGGATTGAAAGTTACAATCTTACAATATATGTAATTTTCGTATTACGCTATATATAAGTAACAGCTTACAAGTTCGAGCATTTTTGCATAATCAAATTTGTAACTCCTCAATTCACTTATGAATTAAAATTACATGAACTAGTTTATCGAAACTTATCGCAAAGTTACATAAAATTATGCAAAAGAACGTTAATTTTCCATCCATAGTTTTATTAAGCAATTCAAAATCGACTTAAATTCCATTTCCACTTACAATATAGACACTTTTTATGCAGAATATTAATCTACAAAATTTAATCTAAAACAAAAATTCGCAAAAAATAAAGAATTAAAAACTATGTAGAAGTTTATAATATACTACATATCATTCATTATTTGATGAACTCTTTTTCTTTTTTCATTATATCGATATCAGTATCAAATGAAAATTAAATAACAGATGAATTTGAATTGAATTATTGTGAGAAAACACTCAAGTCAGAAAAGACTGCTTTTTTTAATATTTGTTACATTTAGGAGTTTCATAATTAACATATTTTGAAAATAAGTGAGAGTTTAAAAAATCCCACAACTATTTTTTAAAATTCCGACTCAGTGAATTAAATAAATGAACACGGTAATAAAATTTGATAAATATCTACCGGAAAACGATTAAGTAAATAAGTTATAAGTTAAAAACATAGGATTTATGGATCACATATTTTGATGTAAATACATCACTTTTGTCTGAAATTGGATGCTAAACAGTAAGCCTGTTCTTAGTTATTTCCAGTCTTTTTTTTTTTTTGTCTACGAACCATTTTTAGATCTTACTCCGGTGGAATTTAATGATGGCTTATGATAATTTTATCATTTTTATTTATTCATTATTTGATTTATTAAATTATATAATGCATATTAAAAAGATTCACTATCGTGATGAATTTAGTTTTTAATTTATTGAAATATCATGTATTATTTCGTTAGAATGTGGGAACATTCAAAAAAAAAGATGCAATCAAAACAATTCATTGAAGCTGATGTGTTTATTAATTTTCCTTCCAAGTTCTATTAAACACGTCCCTGATTGGATGAAATAGATTTTTCCGACTTTTAAAGATTCTGTTCTAACACCATGAAGTCAAAAAACAGCCGAATACAGAGAACATTAAATGAATAAAGTACATTGTTAAAATAAATACTATCAAATAAAGCTTACGTAAAAAATGAGTTCATTAGTTACTAGCGACTTTTGTTTTTTTTTTTATTCCCCATCGCTAGGTTACATTAAGCGTCTAAATTTATGTATGGTACACACGCACCATGTTATACTGCATAATCTTGTTAAATACGTACGTACGTACATCTTTACTCTCAGAGAATACGTATTATAAATTGCTTTAATATTGTTATCGAGTTTTGCGAGTTTTTAAATAAAACTTTAATTCAATGGAAGAATTAAAATTACCGACTGCATGGGATGATGATAAAACACATTTTTTTAGTGTAGATTCAAATAAGCTTAGAGCGAAATATATAGGTAAGATGATCAATTATTCACAATAAAAATTTAGATAATTTCGGCTACAAAGGCCAATTATGAGGGATTCATAAAATTATATTATACTGGGAAATTTACAAATTGGGTCAATTTTTTTATGACCTCGACATATTAAATGCAAACTATTGGATGTCTTTATTTACGAATAGTATTAAAGGTTTACATAAGCTCGATAATTTACTATAAATTTTTCAAATAAAAGGACCTAATGATTATGAAATTTGCGCTACAATTCGATCAAATAATCCGATTCCTTCACAATATGGGCTGTTTTATTTTGAAGTCACAATTATAGATAAAGGAAAAAATGGGTAATAATTTATCATTTGAATTATTACTCTTGAAATTTATTACTTGCTCATAATTCGTTTTATATTTTAAAAGAATAATTGGTGTCGGATTTTGTGCAAAATCAATTGACCTAAATGCAAAAATTGAAGATTCAGATATCATACCCATGCCCGGTAACAAAATTTCATTATTTTCTTTTTTTAAAAAAAATTCACGAGTTAAATTAGCATCTCCCTTATAATACTTATAATACTTAGGGCAAAAACATAATACATGGGCTTATCATAGCGATGATGGATATTCATATCGTTCTGATAATGGCGAACCATATGGGCCATCATATACTGCTGGCGATATGATTGGATGCTACATAAATTTTAGAAATAAGGTTATATTTTATACTAAGAACGGGGTAAATCTAGGTAATTATAACTTTAAGACTTAAATTATAGAAGTTTTTTAAAGTAATTAGATGTTTATTTTTATAACATTTTAAGGAATTGCATGCTACCTATCTGATGATTTAAATGACGATGTTTATCCATGTGTTGGAATATCACAAAGCGGACCTGTAGAAGCAAATTTTGGTCATAAAAAGTTTAATTATTCAAGTAAATTCATTCAGGCTAGATAAATGATATTTTTACGCTTAAATTTATTATAATCACTCAATAATATTACTTCTTATAAATAGCAATGAACGACGAAGATAATGTTAAAGGATTATGGGAAAAAAACAGGTTTAAAGCTCTTGATCTATATGATGAACCAACACAATCATTATTAAATGATATATATGAATTAATCTATCGAGGAAAAGCTTATTTTATTATAGGAAAATATAATGAAGCACTTATTAATCTAAATAAATTACTAGAAATTAATCAAATAATGCAATTGCATTAAAATATCGTGGTGAAGCATATTACATGATGAAACAACATGAAGAATCTCTCAAAGATTTGGAGAAATTATTAGAAATTAATTCAAGTGACGTATGGGCAGCAAATGCCTGTGAGCTAGTTAAGGAAGTGTGAGTATAATGCTCAACGGTTTAAAAGGACCAATTTTCGAATTTGCTAATATACATTATATTTTATATACTACGTATATCTACGTGTCTTATTATTAGTATGTGAGTATTTATGGTTACTGTATGACCATTTATAAAATAGGAAATTTCATTTATTTACATAAAAAAATAAACCACACAACTCTAAATTATGTAGAAGTAGAGAGTGAGTATTAGCACCATAACTATTAGAATCTTATAATTTAAAAAATAATAAATATCACAACTCTAAATTATAATTTACGTGTCATTAGTTTGTAAGTACTAGAATTATAATCATTTTTTAAATCAGAAATCTCTAAACGATAATTTCCATACAAATAGGGAGTAAGTATTTAGAATCATAATACTTCTTTAAACATTAATTCAAAAGGGAACTAATTTTTAATTTATAATTAATAATCCATATATTAGGGAGTGAGTATCTGAGTTATTTTTAAATCAAAAATACAAATGTGTAATATTTCTAAATTACAATTCACATATTATTAGTTTGTGAGTATTTAGCTTATCAAATTGGATTTCTCATTTATTGTATTAAAAAACGAATAATATAATTATAAATTACAATTACATATCATCAGCAAGTGAGTATTTAGAGCAAAG